TGAAGTCGTAGATGTGATAACCGTTTTCCATCTGAAATACGTTAGCATACTGCTCATCGTTATGAAAATGTGAACCTGTCTTACCGAGTGCTTCCAGGCAGAGGCCCAGGTGGCGACGAATCGGCCTGAAGGGTCCCACTCAACGTCTGTCACGCCGTAGTGGTCGGCAGTGTTCATGTGCTGGAGGTTGGCGGTGAGGTCCTTCTCGGCCTCGGGCTTCTCGCCCTCAAAGTCGAGATCGAAAAAGTCAAGGTCAGAGCTCTGGGTGTTCGCAATGGTGGCAATAACAACAAAGCGACCTCGAGGTGACCAGTAGATGGCGTTGCTATTCTTCTTGTCGAGAGTTCGGAGGTGCTTGAAGTTGCCCACCTGCTGACCCTTGGCCTTCTCGGGGCAGAAGAAGGAAACGGCAGTCTTGGGAGGGACGGCGGTGACACCCACGGGCTCGGTTGTGGTGATGATGGAGAAGCGGTCGCCCTTGGGCTCCCAAGCAAAGTTAATGACGGTATCCTTGATGGTGTCGACAACTTCAACGGGGACACCCTTTTCCTTGACGCGGAAGATCTCAAGAGTGGTGGCCTGAGACTTCTTGGACTTGGAGTGTCGGTCGACCTTGACACAGAGGTAGGCGGCCTCAGATTGCCAGTGGAGCTTGGCGTCGCTGACACTGAAGAGGTTGAGGGATCGGACGACCTGTTTTGAGGGAATACTCATCAATCCGACCTTGGCGGGGTTGCTGCCAATCTCGGGTGTCCAGTAGCAGAACAGCTGCTCGTAGGTCTTGATGCTGTCACGCTTGGGAGTTGCGGGGGCCCAGTCAAAGTCCATAACGCCCTCAATCTTGATCGAGGTCTTGTCGAGGAGGTTCATGCGGGGGAGCTCGTAGACGGAGATGGACTGGCCCTGGGTCAACCGGGCGACGTACTTGTCATCGGCGGACCACTTGAAAGCAGGCCACTGCATCTTGGGTGGCGGCTTGCCCTCCTCGCCCTTGGGGGCATCGAGGTTGGCAAAGGACCGAAGAGGAGTAGCAGTCGCAATGTCCCAGATGACATAGTTCTTGCCGTGGTCGTCAATCGAAAGCGCGGGGTGACCCTCGTCAGGAATCGAGATAGGGCGGTTAGACCAGGTCACGATATACTTCTCACCAGGCGAGAAGGCGACGAGGTTGACGAAAGGGTGGGCAAATCGGGCTTGTCGGGACCAGGACTGTCCGCCCCAGAGCTGAACACCCTGGGCGTGGACAGAGGTCAGGTAGGTACCGAGAGGAGACCACTGAACAAAGGTCTCAGTCCAGTGTTGTCGCTCGACGATGTTCTCGGGCTGGTCCTTCTCGTTGTTCCAGTAGACACCGACGCTTTCGCCTTTGTACATGACAAACTGATCACGGCCTCGACCAGAAGGATCCTTGAGGAACCATCGGAGATGCTCCTTCTCGGTGAACTCGTCAATGTGGGGGGGTTGGTAGGTCTCGTCAACTCGGCCTTCTCGTCCATATCGCTCGATGTCGGTGAACTTGTTGACGCGCAGTGTGTGCTTCTTGTCGAGGGGAACCAGGTCGAGCTGGCGAGTGGCAGCGGCAGCCTCAGCGGGCGAAGAGTACTCAACAAAAGCAAACCTTGACAGAGGGTCAGCATCAAGTCGACGTCCAGCATCCAGCAAGAACCAAGACCACCTACCGAAGAGACTTTCCGTTGTCGCCCATGGGCATGTGAACCAGATCCTCCCGTGTCTTGCCAACTGTGTTGAGCTTCTTCAACAAAAACTTGACGAGCTTGGGCTTCTGCTCCTCCGTGACCTCGGGAAGGCCGTCGATGACGACGAAGCTGTCGTAACCCTGCTCCAGCTGCACCTCGAATCTCTCTCGCAGGTCGGAAATATCAATGTCATCCTCGTTGAACTCGTCATCGTCGAGATCGGCATCGCGGAGGTGGTCGAAGGAGGGCGCCATGATGGGCGATTTTTGGTGGGTTGTTGGAGGGGTGCAAGAAAAAAATGCCCCGCTCTCAGTCGTTTCTGAATGTTTTTCGAGGGTTTTGGAGGGATCGGGCGCCGGGCACGAGGGAAGTAGCAAGACCTATCTGCGCGCGGGAGATATGGCCTTAAAAAGACACGCAGGGTATAAATCTGACCGCGGAGAGTGTCGCTCGGGAACGTGCGGAGTCTTGATGTTGCGGGTGCCAACCTGGTGCAGCATAAATTTGGTGTTCGTTTCTTCCCACAAAGTGTGCGCCGTCGGAGAAGCGATCTTCCTCCGCCGACGATACTCCGACCGCGGGGCAAGTCACGTGGGGGTTCGAGTGGCCCCTTGGTTGGAGGGGCTTGGTGTTTCCATGCCCGCCCATGCTTAGCTGGGAGCTCCAGATAAAAAAAAGGCTGCAACGTTTACCCCAAGGCTGAAGCATTCGACGTTGACGACGACGACAACCCATTTTCATTCCCGACAGGTTTCGCCGTGTGTATAGTCGGATTGCCTGCCCGTCATGGTGAGTATCCGTCTTGTCCGCTTGAGAGCTCCAAGAGCTTCGTGATATGAATGAACATGTGCTAATATGCCCCTCCTAGTCATTCCAACCAACCCAGATTTTTGAGGAGGGTACCACCGAGGAGAAGGGCGAGAATGCGCGTCTCGCTGCCTTTGTCGGCGCCATCGCCGTCGGTGATCTTGTGAAGAGCACTCTTGGTCCCAAGGGTATGGACAAGATCCTTCAGTCAGCGTATGTTGCGCCAACCTTGTGCCCGCACACCCCCTTTTGACACCATGTTAGCTCCACCGCCGAAATCATGGTTACCAACGACGGTGCCACCATCCTCAAGTCGATCGCCCTCGATAACGCCGCCGCAAAGGTTCTGGTCAACATTTCAAAGGTTCAGGATGATGAAGTGGGCGACGGAACCACCTCGGTTGCTGTTCTTGCCGCCGAGTTGCTGAGGGAGGCGGAGAAGCTGGTTGACAAGAAGATCCACCCCCAGACCATCATCGAGGGTTACCGGATAGCTAGCCACGCGGCGCTCAAGGCGCTCGAGGAGTCGGCAGTCGACCATAGCAAGAGCCCCGAGGCTTTCCGAAACGACCTTCTCGCGATCGCCCGAACAACCCTCAGCTCCAAGGTCCTCGCCCAGGACCGGGATCAGTTCGCCGAGTTGGCTGTCGATGCCGTCCTCCGACTCAAGACCACCGACCTCAACCACATTCAGATCATCAAGAAGAGCGGAGGCAAGCTTAGCGACTCATACCTCGACGAGGGCTTCATCCTCGACAAGAAGATTGGTGTCAACCAGCCCAAGCGGCTGGAGAAGGCCAAGATCCTAGTGGCCAACACCTCCATGGATACCGACAAGGTCAAGATCTTTGGCGCACGCGTCAAGGTTGGCTCAACGAGCAAGCTGGCCGAGCTGGAAAAGGCCGAGAAGGAGAAGATGAAGGCCAAGGTGGAAAAGATCAAGGCACATGGCATCAACTGCTTCATTAACCGACAACTCATCTACAACTGGCCCGAGCAGCTTTTCACTGATGCCGGCATTATGTCGATTGAGCATGCCGACTTTGATGGTATTGAGCGCCTGGCTCTGGTGACCGGCGGTGAGATCGCCTCGACATTTGACCACCCCGACCAGGTCAAGCTTGGTCATTGCGACGTGATTGAGGAGGTTATCATTGGTGAGGACACTCTTATCAAGTTCTCGGGTGTGTCAGCAGGTGAGGCTTGCACGATCGTGCTTCGAGGTGCCACAGAACAGCTGCTCGACGAGGCTGAGCGAAGTCTGCACGATGCCCTGGCCGTCCTGTCCCAGACTGTCAAGGAGCCCCGAACTACTCTGGGCGGTGGCTGTGCCGAGATGCTTATGGCCAAGGCTGTGGAGGGTGCTGCTACCCGTGTTGAGGGCAAGCGACAACTGGCTGTCTCTAGCTTCGCCGTGGCTCTGCGACAACTACCTACTATCCTGGCCGACAACGCTGGTCTCGACTCTGGTGACCTTGTCGCGAGGTTGCGCAAGGCCCTTTACGATGGTCTTACTACCTACGGTCTTGACTTGATGACCCCTGGTGGCGGCATTGCTGATATGCGAGATCTCGGTGTTATTGAGAGCTACAAGCTGAAGAAGGCTGTGGTGTCCTCAGCCAGCGAGGCTGCAGAGGTAAGATACGGTCACTGTATATTGTCAAGGCGCTGCTAACAATCCAACCCAGCTTCTCCTCCGAGTTGACGACATCATCCGGGCAGCTCCTCGTCGACGAGAGCGCATGTGAGGCCATGCTCGAGTAGCTGGTGAGGACGAGTCATATGTGCATGGACCATGATGATCTGTAATGATACCATAGATGCGGTGGCGGCATGGAAATACAAAAAAGGACCATTGTGGGAGAGCTCTTTGCCCTATGATGAACCTTGCCTTGAATGATCTCTGCCTCTATCTGCCTAACCTGGAGTGACTGTTAAACAATGCTTTTGAACAATGGTATGACGTCTTTGTTCCCGTTTGGGAGTATTATTTTGATGTGCCAGTGTCAACAGCTGGCAGCCCCTGATGGTTAATACATCTCCGCCAACCTCACTTTCTTCTTACTTGGTATTCCCGATTGGGTGATTTATCAACCGATTTGCTCTGTCCAAAAGTAGATGTCTTATTGTTCTTGTTTGTGTCCGTTTATTCGAGGTCTCTCTGCCTGCGCATTCACTTCAGCCCCCCGCACATTCACTCACCTCCCCTTTCATCTTCAACAACATCATCAGTTCTTCGTGGCATTCCTGCAACGCACTTCATCCAACCATCACTCTCGAGATAATCTGCGACTTTGACTGCTTCGTTTCTACGTCCCTTCCGACTCTTATCATCCTTCTTCACCTCACATCTTCAAGGACTTCGTCTTTATACTCATCTCGCCGCTCCGCAAGGCATCAGTCTCCGTGTCTGATACCTCTTCGAACCGCATCTCTTCATCGCTCTTGAGCGAAAGGGAAGATATTGCGACGATGGGGCAACGAAAGATAACCGACATGTTTTCCTCTTCACCACCCAAGGGGCCTTCGGGCCAGCGGTCAACCGTCCGTAATCTGCAACCAGCAACGCCCTCGCGTAGTGGCGCGAATGTATCGCAGCCCAACCATTCTGGTAAGTGTCTCTCACAGCTCAGATTACACCAATAGCTTTCGACTGACACTCTGCGCAGAACCAACAATGAGCACTGCAACTCAACTTACCCCTTCCCGAGCAACCCAGCTGGCTCAGGCTGGCTCCCCCAATACCCCTTTCGGCATTTCATCAGACTCTGAAAGCTCCGGGTCCGATTTCTGCGAGATTCAGCATGTTCAACCTTCTCCCAACAGAAAGCGCAATCTCCCCGCGGCGGACCAGCGAGTCCAGCCCAGCAAGAAAGCAAAGACCAAGCAAGCGCCTCCGGAGACTTGTGCTTCTGTCAACAACACCAAACCGACCCCCCAAGCCTCCTCTGGCCCTTCGCGTGCTCCGCCTCAACCCGCTTCGAGCGCCGCAGCTTCAACCCGCAGCAGCTCGGTGTCCTCAAAGGCCAAACCTGCCGTCAAAGCCAAGCTTCTCCCTCAGCCGGACAACAGCTCCGACTGCTTCATTGAAAAGGTCCTTCCTTCGCCAAAGCGACGCCAAGAGACTCAGCCTCAGTCCAGCAAGAGAAGACGCATCGACCGCGCCGGCAACGCTTCGGCCCTTGTCGGCGAACGGAACGGCCAGGACTCTGAGTGCGAGATTGTTCACATCAAGCCATCGCCCAATCGCCTGTCCTTGACCATGCTCACTTCTACCGACAGCGATGCTGATGATGAGCGCCCAGCCGGTGTTGGGCCTCGGGTCCCAAGAAAGATCGCAACCCCAAGAAAGGGACGCGCTCTTCCGCTGAAGCCAGCCGATAACCGTCCTGCGATGAAGGAACCAGCTGCCACGCCATCTCCCGTCCCCAGTCGAGTTGATCAGAGCATCGTCATTGATCTCTCTCAGTTGATCACATCTGATTCCGACTCGTCTGTCGTTGAGACCTCGCACTCTACAGCTCAGGTCACGCAGCCTCGTTCTGCACAGGGAGAGCCCACTGCTCAGAGCAACCATGGCACCGCGACAGAGGTTGCCCCATCTCCTGAGAACTCCCAGTCTCAGCACCAGTCGGACCCTGAGTCGGATGACATCACGGGCAAACTGATGGACTATCTTGATAGTCAGCTAGAGGCAATGAAGAAGGAGAAGGAAGCCTCGCCAAGCTCTGGTGAGGAGCCATTGTCCACCGCCCCCGAGCACCTCTCCAAGGTCGAGCCCCAAGAGGACTCTCGCGCGATCAAGAAGGAGATCGGTTCTGGTGCCGAAGGCTCTGACGATGATCATGATGATGATGAGGGTGGTGATGACCATATTGATGATCATGATGATGAGGATAGTCCTACCCTGGTCAAGATGGAGGACGCCGCCGACTCTGATTCTTCCGGGCCGTTCATGTCATCTCCGCCTGTCTCGTACCAACTTCCGCCTACTGAGGAAGACTCTCCGAAGCCGGTCAAGAGGGAGCCCGAGACTGAAGCCGAAGACGAGTCCGACACCGGAGATTTCAATGATGAGACGCTCAACACCTCAGTCTCCAGCTTCAACGAGCGCCTTGCTACGTCGTACAAGCTTCAGCCCGTGTACAGTGGCGACAGGCTCTCCGAGACCAACGAGCCCGGAACTCCTGGATCTTTCCAGCCTCATCACCGAGACTCACTCATCGGCCTCAAGAGCATTCTCAAGAGATCCCAGACGTCTCCGGCGCGCGCGAGTGGCGACAACCCCGAGTATTCCTCTTCCCCCAGCGTTTCGCCCCCTTCACGATCTAGACGTGTCAGTTCGTCCCCAACTGAGCGCATCCAGGGCAGCAAGAAGCAAGCCAAGGCTCTTCGGCCCTCTTCTCGCAAGGTTTCATAGAATGAGCCTCGAACGGGACCAACCCGGCACCGAAAGTCCCCTGCGTCGAAGCTTGCAACAGTCGCCAGTGCTATCAAGAAGCAACTACCTTCCAAGGCTTTCATTCGAGTCAGAAGCTGGCTCCCCCCTCGGCCCAACGTCACCAAGCGAGCCAAGACTCCCTCCCCGAAGCGACCTCGAGGATGGAGACTTCAGAGTAAGTGGCAGAGTCCCCAGAAAACAACTTACGCTGACATTGAATCCAGAGAAGCAATTGACCCCGTTGGTCCCGATCCCACCAGCCAGCCTGGAACGTGACAGTGATGGTTCAACCTCGAGCCAGGAGACTCCTTCAAAGCCCCCAGCCAAGCGACCCGCCGCTGCAGTGCAACAGCCTACTCAAGCTGTTACCCACCACGAGACATCGAACGTTGGAGCATCCGAGGATGCGCGGAAGATATCCGAGAAGACTCAGAACAAGGCCGCTAAGAAAAAGCAACTCAAGCCCATCACCCACAGCAGCTTGGTCAAACCACCCCGAGAGATCAAGCCAGCGATCATCCGAGACGGTGTTTCGGAGCACGCAATCAAGCCAACGGTCGCACGCTTCGAGAAGAAGATGGCCGAAGGCAAAGGGTTCACCTACAACAAGACGGACAGCTCTAACACCAAGTACAACTGGGAGGTCGACTGGGGCACGCCTCTTCCTCATACGGAGCGCACTTCACGGGCCTTGGCCGCGGAACTGGAGGAACGTGGCATCAAGACCGATCGACAATACGCCAACTTTTGGTACAACCTCACGATGAAGTACTCCAAGCTCGCCGGTTCGCCCGTGCCGCTCTTCACCGCCAAGAAGAAGGCCCTCGAGGACGTCGTCGAGGAGGCGTTGCAGAACGAGAAGCGCAGAAAGCGTAAGGCGCGCAAAGCAGAGAAGAAGAAGCAACAACAGGAGAAGAAGAAGCAACCTCAAGGAATCGAGGCACTCCTCCTCAGTGGAGCCGACGAGGCCGACGAGGCCGGCGAGGAGAGCAACTCGGATGAGTCGGTTGACATGGAGGCTCTCATTGCCAAGATGAAAGCTGACGAGCAGAAGCAGAGGATGCTAACTGGGGTTGGAACGAGCTGCGGATATCTCAAGAAGTGAACAAGTATTGGAGGCACGGGGATATGGATCCATATGTACCAAGTGAGCAACGGATGGATGAAGTCACTATGGAAGATGTTTTGGAAGGGATGATACTTGCTGGCCAAGTAAACCCTTGCTGGCCAAGGGGAGCAATGACCTTATATGAGACAGAGGCTCAAGGACCAATGTTGTTAGTTCGAGTCCATAGGCGCAGAGGCCAGAGAGAGGCTCGTAGGGCTCACAATGAAATGCGATAAAATGGACCCCCGAGATTGCTTGTTTACAATGCCAAGTTTCCACCATCAAAGACTTGATCAAGATGGACAATGGACGATGCGAGGCGTGATTGGCTGAGGCTGGTTATTAGCCGCGCATATGCGGCCGAGATTACGAGCGACAGGGGGGCCGGGGATGGTGTTGACACTGTACAAGCCATATTCCTGGCGTGGGCTTACACAGTGAATCTCGAAGCAGGACTGTGTGACCCTCCTGCTTCCCCTGGCATGGCTTGGCCCCCCGATAAGGTCATGCCACACCACAATCAAGGATGCCACACGGCACAGAACTGTGCTGCTGCTAGCGGAGATTGTACCTGGGGGAACTTTTGCATGGGGAGAAGAGAATCAATGTTGACAGGACTTTATCAGTACGTGTAAAGGAACATGGCACATAGGCCAAGGCATCATTTACCCAGCTCTCTTCTTAATCGCCATTGACTTTACCACAAGAAATAATTAAACATCAGGGCTTGTCACCCAATAGGCGGGGACAAGACACACTAACAGTAGCGCCAAAAGCCATGCCATCAAAGGCAAGTCACTCCGCGTCTGTTTTTGTATGCAGAGATACATGCCTTTGATCCATTTTTCTACTGCATGCTGCGGGTGGGCGTTGGATCAATCACCTCCTTTGCGTAGGTTGGCGTCGTCTCCCGCTCAAGGTCTCCTTTGCGATCGTCATCCACTTCCCGGTTTAAACCTGCCTCTTGCTTGTTGCTTTCGCGGTTTTTCCTTGATCTCGCTCGTTTCTTCTCTTTTCTTGGTCGTCCTTCTGCTTATTGCCGACACCAACTCTCGCTTCTTTCTTCACCTCTAACCCCCCAAATCACTCTACTTTCTTGTTAATCTCCCTCTATTTTGGACACGAAACCTTCGCCCGGCGCCTAATTTAATATCTCCTTATCCCGGCCGCGACCGCTAGACGCCCTCTGGGTTGCGAAAACCCATCCCCCGTGCCTCCCCGTCCTTCGTTATGGGAGTGCCCCTCTGAGCTCGTCGACCCCAGTCCATCGTTGATCGATTGAGTTATACCGCTCTTCCCGGCATAACAGCCTTCAATCTCGGGCCCGCCCCTTTCGCTTCGCACCCTCGCTTCCTCATCTCCCTTTTTCGCTCCAGACCTGCCTAGTACAGGCTCTCCTGGCCCGGTCGTTTGGGTGTGGACTCGAACCCTGGCAATCTTGAAACCGCTCCTTCAGCCCCATACTCAGCATAGCAACACCGACACAGCTGGAGCCAAGCATAGCCCAGCTCGGTCCATCCGAACAAAAACAGAGGCGAGGCCGCCCGACAGAGGGAACCAAACGACGTCAACCGCATTCACGAGACGCAAGAGTCGAGACGAGCCCCCGAGCGTGATAGACAGCCGATCAACAGACGAGACACCATCCGAGTTTAGATCGCCCACCGGTTCGCAGCGCAGGCGAGGAGAGAGTCTTCTCGTCCATACAAACTCTTGCTTCCCCCCTGCGATGCGACAATGATCCGCACCCTCGATATCGGCAGTGTTCTCCCCAGCCCCGACTCTCCGCCAGGGATGACGGCCTCCAAGAGCTCCAAATCGTCGTCTTTCCAGTCCTTCAGCAGCGACGATGGCAGTGTTTTGGCCGACGTTGGTCATTTTGAGGAGATTGGACTCGATGACGACACCGTAACCCTCAAGAGTCCATCCCAGGTCGACATCCGTCCCAGTCACTCCAAAGCTCCCTCGAGTCGAACTCTTGCGGCTGGCAAAACGGCTTCCAAGGCTCGACCGCCATTTCCGAGTCTCCAGACCAATGTTTACACCACCAACCCGCGCAGCACCAACCTGAGCTCATTGACAGAGCCCCCCTCGGCCACGCGCTCCAAGCAGTTGACAAGTCCATCATCTGCCTCTCTCCCCTTTCCTCGACGACACCGAAGTCCCAGCCCCGGGTATTCCCTCAACCCGAGAGATCCGAGTCTCCCCCCAAAGCCCCGTCGAGGCAGCTGGCAAACCGGCCGCGAGCGCAAGTCGTTTACCGATCTCGAGCGAGAATGCGACGAAGACGATGGCGATGATATCCCCGATGGCCTTGTCCTCGACAACGTGCCTCTCTCTCCTCGTCCACCTCAGGAGCGCACACCCAGTCGCCCGTCTTCAGTATCACCCTCTCCCGACCGAGCCCCCAAGGAACGCGTTCGAAGCGTTGGCAATGGAACGCCTGCTGTTGCTCAAGCGCAAGGGTCTCTTCGATCGCCAACCTGGAAGACCGACGGAGCTCGCAGCCCAGTCAAAACTCGGGCACACAGCTGGAACGCGGCGCTCGCCGACCTGAATGCCGAGGCCAAGACTCTGACGGAAAAGCTCGAGGAACACGCCGGGGAGATGGAGGAACAGCAGGCAAAGCGTCCTGCAGGTCAGCGCCCCAACACCTGGAACTCGTCTCGATCTGTCGATACCTCGTATGAGAAGAAGCAGCGCATAAAATCCACGCCAGAGCTGCCGCCCCTGCGCAAGTCCAACATCATGATTGACCCTCTACCCATCTCGAAGGAGAAGGAAGCTGTTCTCAGCCGAACACGTCCCTCTTGGCTGCCGCCCAAGGATCCAGCAGAGGAGCGCCGACATCTCAAGGAGTATCAGAAGATGATGGCAGCGAGCGCCAAGGCTGATGAGCGACGTGAAGCCTCCCGCAGAGCCAAGATTGAAGGACGGGACAGCGCCGCCGACAACCTGATGCACATTTGGGAGAAGGATGTCCTACCACGATGGAACGACGCTATTCGAGAACGCAGGACGAGAGAACTCTGGTGGAAGGGCATTGCGCCTCGCAGCAGAGGAGCCGTCTGGACGCGAGCAATCGGCAACGAGCTGGGTCTGTCAGAAGCCTCTTTCCAGGCAGCTCTTGCGAGAGCCCAAGAGGTAGAGGCCAGAGTCAAAGACGACAAGGGCGATGCCGAGGATGTGAAGAGAGCAAAGTGGTTTCAAGAAATTCGAAAGGACGCAGCCAGCAAGACGTGGGAGGACCTCCGCATCTTCGAGGTGGAGGGCCCTCTGCACCAGAGTCTTGTCGACGTACTGAGCGCGTATGCCATGTACAGGAGTGACATTGGCTACGTCCGGGGTTGTAATGTGAGTATGACAAGCCACTGTGTGCCACTCGAGATGCTAACCAAGTCCGTCAGACAATCGCCGCGTTGCTACTCCTGAACCTGCCCAACGCTGGGTCTGCATTCGTCGCACTCGCCAATGTCCTCAACCGGCCATTGCCCCTCTCATTCTACGCCTGTGACCTTGGCGCACAAGCCTCAGCGTTCAACTTGGTGCTCCAAACGCTGTCTCTGAAGTCGGCCCCTCTGCACGAACACCTCACCAAGAAGGTCCAAGACGTCAACCTAGAGGAATCTCTATCGTCAATCTTGACTGGAATGTTTACGGGACATCTCGCCATTGACGAAGCGGCGCGATTATGGGATGTATATGTCTTTGAAGGCGACGCGCTCCTTATACGTGCCGCCGTGGCTTTGTTACTCAGCAGAGAAATGACTCTTCTCGGCGCAAAGACGGCCGACGAGATCAAGGCGATTCTATCTGTAAGGAACGCCAAGGTGTCATCAGTAAGACTTGCTGGCGAGGTCGGCGCCGAGGACAAGTTCATGATCTCGGTCCGCGAGGCCGGCAAAGCCTAAGGATTTATTGATGGGAACAAGGACAAAGATGGCTGAGACTCACGTCTCAACATGTACATTTTGGAATAGATGGGGACATACGCGGCTCCATTTCACGGCGTTTTCTACACGGGTGGCATTTTGGACATATGGGGTGGAGCGAATATTGCGGAGGACATTTTTGTGAATGTCTGGGGATGACAACAGCCTGTGGAGGCCCATAGAGCGGTGCTTATCTTCGTAATTACCGTCATCCATGAATTGGATAGACGAGGTTCTGAATTATATGATTTTGATGATCAAGAGTTGATTCTGGAAAATGGGGATATGTGAGCTGGCAACTTGACAACATGGGAGGGTTGGTGCCAGATAAAGACAAGCAAACGCCCTATAGATTCAACAAACTCTGGGTTTGTCGTTTGAGGAGCTGATGATGGTTCCCGTGGTCCGAAGTCGGTCACAAGCCTCCGGAATCCGGGCCGACATCAGAGCTGAGTGCAGGGTAAGCGCTGAGAGCGGTTGATCCATGATGGTATCTTGCTTTATGAAACGAGGTTTAAATGGTGTCAGAAGCTGTCAAATCTAGGGATATGACTTGTAGTTCTTGTCGATTTTTGGAGTAGTTGGTATCATGACATGAGTCTGCTTTGTATGGGTGCCATGTTTGATGAGGGCGCAGACATTGAGCGTATTCACTCGGGAACACCACATATGTTTATTTGCAAGTTCGGTAGATTTTTATTGACACTCATTGAGCACTTGCTATATTACAATGGCAGCTCCAGAGGAAAATAAACAGTCTCACATAAGGCAAATATCATACGCCAAGTCATCTCAAACAAGCGCCTATCCCTTTATCCCCGCCAGATTAAGTCCATCAGTGGTGTCGTGATAAAGCTCAGCTCCGTCACTTGAACGCTACCATTGACGCAATTCCCTCCAGCCACCAGCGAGTGCCTCGGCCCTTTATATCATATCAATTAGTACCAATCCGAGACATCAAGCCATGGCGTTGCAGCATGCATTAGCATGACGCTGTGAAACCACCAGGAGCAACCTCTTCCCTCTGTTTCGCGCTCCGGCCATGTTGACCCAGCCTCGTCACGTGATCACAACCAACTTCTGACCCCTCGCCGCTGACCACCAGTTCTGAGGGAGCAGACAAAAACATCCAAACACCGCCGCCCAACAATTCTCTCCACCTCACTTATACGAGGCCCAACCCGCCCACTATTAGCTGGTGCCCCAGCCTCGCCCGCACTCAAGATGCCGTCCGGATACAAACATGGAGATACTCCCAAAAAGGCCATGGTGAGGGGAACCATCTCGTACCTCGAGTCCCAGGGCCTGCCCGTCAACAAGTCTGCCATCTTCCGCCACTTTGACCTCTCACGCTCCCAGGGCTACGCCGCCCTCAACATCCCTGCCTCTAAGCGCAATGACCCCGAATGGGAGGAGACCCGTGGGAGGCCCCTGAAGATCTCCGAGGAGGACCAGCAGAAGATGGAGAAGATCCTGTGGGATGAGCGTTATGTCAGCGTCAACCTGAACTGGCACGGCTTGGCCAAAGAGGCTGGTGTCGAGGTTGACGTGAACCCGAGGACTCTGCACCGGACCATGGGCACGCTTGGATACCGGAGATGTCTGGCATGCCCCAGGACCTGGGTGCACAAGAAGGCTAGGGAGAAGAGAGTGGAGTACGCCAGACGGATGCTCGAGGCGTATCCTCAACCCCAGGATTGGAGACCCATACGCTTCAGCCTCGAACTTCACTTTGGTTTTGGCCTCGACGGCAAGATGCGCCTGATTCCGCGACCCGGTGAGAAATTCTGCGCTCCGTGCTCAGAGACGCCCGAGGCTGAATGGCCACGCGATCTGAGAAAGGCTCATGTATGGGTTGCGGTGGGATACGGCTTCAAGAGCGAACCGGTCTTTTACGAAGAATCCACCAACCCCAACTGCACCGGTGTCATGACCATGACGGAGTACAAGGACCATATCCTCGAAAAGACGATCAAGCCGTGGCTCGCCAACTCAGGCTCGCAGAGCTTCATTCTCGAGGAGGACAGCGAGGCATTTGCACACGGCGCTGCGAGCAAGGTCAACCCGGTGCAGCAGTGGAAGGAAGAGCACGGTTTGCGATACTACTTCAGCTGCGGCGACAGCCCAGATCTGAACCCACTGGACTCACTCTGGCCGGCACGCAAGCAGTGGGCGCTCGACGCGCCAAAGGACTGGGAGGATGAGACGCTGCAGAAGATGGTGCGTGACGCCTGGGCATCTTTTGAGATGGACAGGGTCAACATGTGGGTGGATTTCATGCCACAGCGTTTGAGGCAGGTGATTGAAGGTGACGGGGCACTGATTCCATGGTGATGAGAGTTATGGGGGTGTTTGGGAGTTTACATGATTCTGGCGTACATATGATTGACATGGTGTGTTATGATGAGAAAACTCGATGACTGGGACGAAGGGGTGTTTAATACTCTTATTTTTACGGCTTCTAAGGAAAACAAAAAGCTCATAGTTTCTTCACTGCATGCTATATCTTCCAGGTTGGAGTGATTGGTCGTGATGATCGTCCCCGGCACGACGGACGGACTGGGACAGGCAGGCACTTTACAACCACAAGTCTGGTTTTTGAAACAGCAGTGATGCGCCAAGGACCACCGAGCATGATCGATAAACATTATAAGGATGACTTTTTATTGTGCTTGGGTGATGGAAGAGGCGCAACATGTTAATCTGGAGGACGTCGCAATAGATACAGGGGAATCGACCGTTGATCATACCAACGCCTACCTACCTCTGGGAACGGAATCAAGCCCCCGACTGCAATTTCGAACGTATTTAGAAGCTAAGTAAATATTTGGACCTACTTATTTCCTTCGTGTTTGGGAAATACAGTCGAGTTCCATCTCAGGGGCCCGGTGCCGGACATGGACACCAACTGGGCGGTTTGACGTATACCATGTGCCGGATGCCTAATGATGAGGATTAATAAAATAAAGGGACTTTGCTCTGCTTTAGAATGAATATCTAGTCGAATTTGACAGTCTTTTGATAAGAATTATATGAAATCATCGAGGCTCTGGAGGTGGGTGCATGGGGCTTTGTTTGCCAGTGCCAGGCAGCTGCAGAGAGACACGACAGTGATCACTGTCGTCAAACAATCCGCAGCACGCGCACAATCAAAACAGTCGAAAAATTTCTTCTTCCTTCTAAAATCTCTTTGGATTCACTCATCTTTTTGACCTCACCCGCACCATCTTGGTTTCTTGGCCACATACCCAATACTCAAGATGTCCAGGTCCAAGAAGAAGAACAAGAAGGCCAAGGAGAGCTTCAAAGATATCGATACCATCGACCTTACCAGCTCTCCTGTGCCGTCTTCTGATCCAGCATCGTCACCCCCGACTGGTCTAGCATCATCACCCCCAACTCGTCCTGATGCGTACTCGGTTCCCAACTCCCCGGCCAAGACCGCCGCCGATAAGGCAGCCATGCCTCCTCCCACCAGCCGTCCCGGTGACAAGAGCGTAAGTAGACTGCCCGTCTCCCTTGAATAGAATCATCCGACGGGAAGTCCGGTCCGGGCCACTGACAATCCACAGACTTCTCAGCCTCCGGCCCCTCGGGACCGAAACGCAGGCTGGAGACGAGCTGGCACTGGTGTCCACGACGACTATCTGACGACGTCCAGGGGGAACTTCCGTCACAAGTCTCTGAGACGGGGCAGCGGCATGACTGTGGAAACCCCCCAGGGCATTCGAAAAGAGAAGGAGATGCGCATCCAGCAGGGACGTTGGTCATACAACCCGTCCCAAGCCACAGCATCCTCCCAAGCAGGCTCGATGTCCACCACAAGGGAGCCTCCCAAGGGACCCCAAGCCCACAACAACCCGGTTTGTTTGACGTTTCCAGTTTTGACACGTAACGTTACTGACCAGGCTCTAGTATGGACTCACGCGGCCTCAAAGCAGACGGGGTGATGTCCCTCCTTTGAAGGAGCTCCAGGGAGGGTATCAGAGAACCACTGCCCCTGCGCGACAAACAGGTGCCACCTCCAACTCTGAAACACTTCAACGTCCTGCTCCTATTCAAGCACCCCAGTCGAACCAAAAGCCCGCTACAGGCCTAGACACATCGAATCCAAACCCATCTGTCCCTGGTCCAGCCGTCGCTGATCCGTCCGTCCCAAACCCGGCCGCCACGGAAACCACGGGCAGCCAGACCCCACGACGAAACTTCTCGATGGCTTGCAAGATTGAGGTCATGGAACTCTGCCTGGCATCGAAGGGCACGTACTTGAACATGACTCCTTCGCCGAATTGTGACCAGAAGCCCTTTTGGGAAATTCTTTTCCAGAACATCGAGCTCAACCATGCTACCCAAGGCATGTTTAAAGACTGGAAAGACCTCAAATACCATGTCGATGTCTGGGCCCAGCCCCGCCGGACGAGTCTGAGAGAGAACAACTTGCCCGCTCCGTCCCTTGGACAGCCAGAGCTCGACCGGCTCCCCGATGAATGGAATCGGGTCTTTGCACAACGCTTTTGCGCAACCAACCGAGGGTATTTTGAGAGCAACCTCTGGCCTCTAGCTGAGGGCCATATCATGTCGATCATGAAGTCAGAGATCCAGACTTGGATCACCGGCGCTCTCGAAAGGCGGATGAACGAACTCGACCGATATACGCGACGTGTGCTCGGAAGCAACAGAAGGCCTGAAGACTATGACAATCCTGTTAGGCGATTGGTTTACAGTTCTCAAGCGACGAGCCAGAGCGACGCGGCGCAAGTTCGTGAGACAGAGGCCCTCATGTCGCTTGTGCTGGAGCTTCAGCCTCAACTGCGCAGTGCCATTGCTGAGGATATTCGCGACGCTGAAAGCAACGACCGGGGAAACAACAACCAGCGCTCGCCTGAACTCCAGACAACTGGTCGACGACAGGCTCCTGGCTATTACCAGCATACACGAGATGGAATTATGCCGTCCATTGAGACTCCAACCCGGACTACGGGTTATAGACGGGCCCCAGGATACTACGATCGACCTGTCTCTTCACCTCCGATGGCTGGCCCTAGCTATGATTGGTATTCAAGAAAGAGCAAGGAGCCAGACCAGAGTCGACACTCGACTCCAGGCACAGGCAACCTTTCTATCAGAACCCGAGACGTGCCAGGATATGGCCCTGGGTCTGGTGCGAAGCGTCGGCGTGTGGACGAGGGCATGTCCGAGTTTCCATCCCCGAGTCAACTCATGGCGCGAAGCTCTTCGACAGCTCGGGCACGGGACACCCCGGATAATCCGTTCGAGACGCCTCAACCACAGCAAAGAGGCCAGGGCGCTCATCGTGAAGAATCGCCGGACCGGTTTCGCGAGCAGACCGCGGAGTTCAACACCATGGCTCCTGACTCGAAGATGGACATGTTGTACAAGGCTCTCAAGGAAACCCGCCGAGAGCGGGGCAAGGGCAAGGGGAAGGGAAAGGAACAGTAGAAGATGTCGTTTGGGAAGTGTCACGTGTGAATTCTTCGTGATGGGCGGTTAGCTCGATGCTTCCAACATGGATGACTCGGGAGGAATGGAAGGGAGGAATGGAAGATTGATGGATAAAGGAGAGAATCGGCGTTTGGAACCCATGTATGTACATCTCAACAACCGTCTCAACAATTGTTGTAGAGATGAAGCTGCGTAGGTAGCTAGATGGCAAGGATCGAGGCGAATGTAGGAAATTGTACGGATTAGAGTCTGATATCGAACCACCTACGGGGTTCAAGAGATACTCGAGTGAAACACTGAATGGGTAAATGAGGCTCCAACTCCCTTTGAGTGCTATGACTTCGCGATACAATAATTCATCCAAAATACTTGAATAATGAAAGAAACATTGTAAAAAAGAGGCTATCCTCTAATCGTTCTTATGTTATCATTCTTGCAATATCTTCATTGCTGCCCAGTACAGCCAATGCCTCCCATTACACTGGTGTTATTCTATTGATACCCTAACAGCTACCCTCCCAGAACAATGGCATACTGCGGCACTCGAATTTTCCCGATATCGAACCACCATGACCTGACTCGGGAAGCGGCTCTACTCGCGATTAGCAAGGAGTCGACTCCAACGATCCATTATGATGGATGCTGACGATGGCGGGGTTTAAACCCAAGAGCCGCGAAAGAAGTGCCGCCCAGGAAAGATTGCCAAGCGGGCAAGACACGTGGGGCGCTTGGACCCTAGAGCAAGGGGGAGAAAAGCTCTTTTGGAGGCCTGTGACGAGCTTGAAAGAAGCCTGCGACCTTTGATGGAAGAGCATTTAAGCCAATGGCTGGCCTCGTGAATGAAGTCCTCGGCCGAATTCCTCAGTAACCTTGCTGAAAAGGAAAAAACAGTCAAAAATGGCTATATCTTGGCAAGCGCTTGCACTCCTGGCTGTCAAGCACGTCAAAAAAGGGACGCCTTGACGGTGTGTGTTCCATTCGATTCCCCTTGTCCCTTTTGCGCCACGCCCGTACATTGGAGGGGAGGGGCAAAGGGAACGAGTCGTATCGCGCGCCGCTCGCTCGCTTCCCCACCAGCTCCGCTCCATCTTGAACCCAGAAACTGAACCCTTGGGCCGTGGATTTGCCAAGACCAGGGGTCCCGCCTCAGCTCAACAAAATTCCCAACAGAAAAAAAAAATATCGAAGCTTCGTCTTGATGATGCTCACAAGAATAATTCCATTCTTGTGGCCCTGATAACAGAAAGCTCCTGAAAGACATGGGGACGTGCGTATTCGGTTTGTCCGTTCTTGTCCCCACTGACATAAAGCTGCTGCTGCTGTCTTGTAACCGCCGAGCTGAACAAAGCCCCTTGAACAGCGGTAAAAAAAAGTGATCAATTGTGACCAGAACAAGGCAGATGCGCTTCCTCGGCTCGTCAAATGGACGGTGGCATGATGTTTCCCCCCTCCTTACGCCTCCCATCTCATCATCCATTCCCCAGGTTTCCTCACAGACAATGCCCTGGCATGCGTGACCAAGTTGTGCAACAGCGTTGGGCAGAACCGGTCAAGTTGAGGATGTACATGTACATCGGTTCAGTCCAAGTAAGGTTATCTTAGCACACTTTGGCATTTTCACCTCGGTTCGTCGTCATCAATGGGCATTTTACATGTGGACGAACGCCAGACTGGCTGCTCACTCACTCAGCCATCAACCCTCCCATCTCTTATCCAAGTTATCTCGAGGCGGAGGGCGGGCATCTCTCCACGGCCGTCGACGTTGCTCCACTGCGAGCTGGGGTTGATTAGCTTTGGCCTTCACCAGATTCATCAACACCTCCGTCCCATGTCTCTCACCTCCCCCCAGTATCAAACATGCCTGGCCTCATGAACCAATCGACTCGTATCCAATTCACATCGTCAACAAAAAAAAGAAGAGAAGCTCATCGGGCTTGGGCCGCTAAGCACGCCCCTCCTTTGCCCCTCTCACGGTGGTTGACGAGGGCGGGCTCCCGGTTCCCCCCGTCTGTCCTCGTTGACTTCGATTCACATGTCGATGATCTCCAGCCCTAAGCAGGACCCGGGAGCCACCTGGCCCGCAGTGCCCCAAGCTTCCCCCAACTGGAACCTCCGACCCCAAGACACGCGCCGGAGCCTGGTCCGGCCACGGGTATGGAGGCAAAAGGCTCGGGGGTGGTGGCTGGAAGGCCCAAAAAATAGGTGTCCACTGACCATGCTCGACATAAAAGACGGGTGCACTTGCAGCGGGAGGCCTAACCTTGAGACGGTTGCTTAATTTGAGAAGCCTATTCCCAGGCAGAGTATTTTCCGCAACGGCTTGGTTGCCCGTCAAAGGGGGGAGCCAATCTGATACGCCGCCGCCATCCCGTCGGTCTTGTCCCGCGGGCACAGAGGCAAAAAAAGAAGTTGATCCACCAGGCGGTGAGCATCCGAGCTCAGAAGGGGGGGACGCCGCATCAATTGAAGCGTGCAGGTCATTCTCACTGTGCGTGCATGTGTGTAGGCGCAGCGGTTTTTTTTCTCCTTCTCGTGTGGTTGTCTTGTCTTCCATGTCTTGGAGCATGGTGCCACTGCGGGTGTTGAAATCCCGCCGCCGGAGTTGGGGCGGGGATCGGGCCCGGGCTTCGGCATTGTTGACGATGCAACGTCGGCCGTGAAACGGTAAACTGTTGACTGAGTAAAAAAAGATGATGAGAGCATCCAAGTGATACCAATTGGAAATCAAATTAATCTGATGACCATGGTAGAGCGAACCTGGAGTTGTCTGTCAGTGTACAAAGTGCAGAATCTTGGCGATAGGTAGTTTCAGCCAGCCCCCTTCCCCTCCGTGGACAAGTCAAGCTTGTGAAAGCTCCCACGGCTCCCCTGTTGTGAGACATTGAGGTGCCCGCCCACCTCAACCCCGGCCACCCCGTCCAGTCGCTCACTCAAGAGGGAGGCCATTGCCACCGTCAAGGGGGGTTAGAAGCACGACCCGTTTTCTAGCGTATTTTCCTGGGGTATAATTTTTTTTCCTGCTGGCCTTTGGAGGTCGCGACTCGAGTTGGGCGTGGGTGTATGTAGGTACCTTGGCTCAGCTATCTTTTTTTCCCTTGAAGCGGCCGCCTCTTTTTCAAGATCGACCAAAGATTGTGCATAGCTAGAACATCAGTGGCACGTAGGTCAATAGACAAACCTGTGCTGCAGCTGAAGGCGTCGAATTGTCTGTCAGGAATAAAAAGGGAGCTTGTCATGAATCTCTGTCAATTCCAAGCCCTCTTCTTACCTCTTCGCTCTCGGTTTTTGCCCCAAGGGATCATTACCTGTAAGCTTTCTCATTCCCTGTCTCACTTGGCCGCGGTAATTGAGTGATCGTCCCACTTGTTGCAGCTTCTGCTCTTGTGCCTGGTCTGCTTCACTGCTTGCCTGTCCGTTCTCCCGTGGCTGCCAGGCTTTGAGTGGGCTCCACGGCACTTCCCCCAACAAAACGTTCCTGCCGAGCAAGCGGAATCGCATTGCATCCATAAAACTTCAACCCCCCCCTTATTATAACACACTCCCGTCAGCCTCTTCCTTCTTCTTCACCTCCCCTCTTTCTCTCTTCGACTCTTGTCCTTTGGCCAATCCGACCAATTGACTCTTCTCTCTTTGTCGGTCGTCCTCCCTTCCCCCCCGCAACAATGGCTTCTACGGCTGTGCCCAGGCAGAACCCTGCCCTTCGACGCACCGTCACCTCTACCACGGCTACCGACTCCGAAACGTCAGCTGCCGTCTCTCCCTCGGACTCTCCTCGTCCCTCGGCTTCCTCTACTTCGCTCTCCTCCCTGTCTGAGGTGGACATTGCGAAGCCCAAGTCCAGCTATGGCCGCCTGATCGACACATACGGCAACGAGTTCGAGGTGCCCGACTTTACCATCAAGGACATCCACGATGCCATCCCCAAGCACTGCTTCAAGCGCTCCGCCATCAGGGGCTACGGCTACATCCTCCGCGACATTGTCCTCCTCACCACCACTTTCACCATCTGGCACAACTTTGTGACCCCCGAGTACATCCCCTCCACTCCCGCCCGTGCTGGTCTCTGGGCCGTCTACACCGTCCTCCAGGGTCTCTTTGGAACTGGTCTCTGGGTCATTGCCCACGAGTGCGGCCACGGCGCCTTCTCCGACTCTCGCCTCGTCAACGACATCACCGGCTGGGTCCTCCACTCGTCCCTGCTCGTCCCCTACTTCAGCTGGCAGATCTCGCACCGAAAGCACCACAAGGCCACCGGCAACATGGAGCGTGACATGGTCTTTGTTCCCCGAACCAGGGAGCAGCAGGCTACTCGTCTCGGCAAGATGGCTCACGAGCTCGCTCACCTCACCGAGGAGACCCCCGCCTTCACCCTGCTCATGCTGGTCATGCAGCAGCTCGTTGGCTGGCCCAATTACCTCCTGACCAACGTCACTGGCCACAACTTCCACGAGCGCCAGCGCGAGGGTCGCGGCAAGGGCAAGAAGAACGGCCTCGGCGGTGGTGTCAACCACTTCGATCCCCGCAGCCCTCTGTACGAGAACCGTGATGCTAAGCTCATCGTCCTGAGCGATATCGGTATTGGTCTGGTCGCTACCGGTCTGTACTTCCTCGTGCAGAAGTTTGGCTTCTACAACATGGCCATCTGGTACTTTGTTCCCTACCTCTGGGTCAACCACTGGCTGGGTAAGCTCCTCTCGTCTTCTTTCACTTGTTAATCAATACTGACCTGTCTAGTTGCCATCACTTTCCTTCAGCACACCGACCCTACCCTCCCTCACTACCACAACGAGGAGTGGAACTTTGTCCGCGGCGCCGCTGCCACCATCGATCGTGAGATGGGCTTCATCGGCCGACACCTGCTCCACGGCATCATCGAGACCCACGTCCTCCACCACTACGTCAGCAGCATCCCCTTCTACAACGCTGATGAGGCCACCGAGGCTATCAAGCCTGTCATGGGCAAGCACTACCGCGCTGACGTCAAGGACGGTCCTCGTGGTTTCATCCGTGCCATGTACAACAGCGCCCGTATGTGCCAGTGGGTTGAGCCCAGTGCTGAGGCTGAGGGTGCTGGCAAGAACATTCTCTTCTTCCGCAACCGCAACAACCTGGGCACTAAGCCTGCCATCATCGACCCTCCCGCCGCCTAAGGGTGCTATATCGGTCCGCTCGCAGGGTGTCTGCACACCCACAGATGTTTTCAGCGTTGATTGTTCCAAGTTTGGTCATGGGAGTCGTCGGATTCGGTTGTTTGGGTCGGAGCAAGACCGTACATGAAACAGGTCTTGCCAGTCGGTTAAATTGATATGGCCCATGGACATGGTGGAGGATGGAAGAGGAGGTAAAATAATCGAAGGAACAAAGACTCAAAGAGTGATGAACTAGATGATGGAGAGCAGCAAGGATATGAAACCTAATGAAGCCACTCAATTTCTTGGATCAAGGACTGTCTTGTGATGTTTCTCGAGGTTTGTTGACGCTGAAATGACGGATGCCCCGGACTATCAAGTGATCTGATGCGGGGAAAGCCACACGTGCTCACGGGTCATATTTGGAGTCCGACCGCCGAAGGTCTTTATCTTGAAGCTGTCGAGATTGTGATTTGGTGGTTTCTGTGGGGTTTGAGAACTGCCGTTGGGTGGTTTGGACGTTGCTGCCGAGGTAATGGTGGAGGAGGACACATCGGGATAACAACTCGCGAGATGCTACATATCAAGCTCAGGGATCATTAAATGGACGTTCCATGGCCTTCATGGGGAGATTAATGGCGGTTCGGGGCTTGGAAAAGAGGCGTTCAATGTCGCGGCTGTTGGCCGTGATAGGAGCTCCTTACTGCCGTGTTGCAGCCGGCAAGGAGGACCTCATGAATCACCTTTCATCTACCCGTGTCTGGACTGCGGTCTAGACCCTGCAGACTTGAAGACAGCGCAAGGAGGTCCTTCAACCAGTTTCATATTCCCGGCGATGGCAGTCCAAGTTGCAACAGATGCCCTGCCCGAGTTCTGAGGCTGTATTGATGTATCCATGTTACGAGGGCCGTCTCGGTTGTCGGCTGACTACGTTCCTTTACCAGATAACCCTGAACGGCAATGACGCTTACATCTCGAAAGCTGGACACAAGATGATCTGTTTGCCTGACCAAACAGCAAAAGCGGTGAATTCAACCGTTACACAAAGATGACATCTTGACAACCAACAGTCTGCAAGGTACAAAACCAACCAGCCAAGCCACACAACATTCTTTTTTGAGCAACCTGATGTAGATCATGCTGAGCAAGAACGGGTTCACGGGCGTAGGAATCCCGACTTCCGGTCTTGAAAATGTATCACTGGAGGGTTTACTCCGCACCGAGTAAGATTTGCCAAGGATTTGCCAAGGTAAGTGGCAAACTGGCAATGGTCAAGCCACGGGTGGTCACGTGCTTGGTCACACCTACTCGGTTCCAACATCTCTAGCCAATCACGTACTTTCTAATCAAAGACTGGCTTCAAGCATCACCGTTGTTTTCCAAATTGCCTGGAATCTTCTTGGAGGCTCAGTAACATTACATGGGCAGATAGAGAGACAAATAAATGAAATCACTGCTGAAAAAGGATGGCCGCTCGGAGGGCTTGTAACCGAGATCCTGTCTTTGCTACCCCTTGAATTTTGGGTTACACAACGTTATAAGCGACAATACCGTCTTGTAGGAGATATAAGACCAGGTTTCTTAAAAAGAACATCCACTCGGGATGGCCGACACGGGCGTCGAGAACTTTGCAGCCAAAACTTGGCGATGCCATCATGGACTCTATTTTCATTCCACTCTTTGAGAAAGACCGTCCTAATACCCCCCCTGAAAGAATCATCGCGCCCAAAGCTGGTACAACCTACTTGGTCAATGACTCGAAGAAGCGGTGGGGGGTGGACTTTTGAGCGACATAACGGAAATAACACAGCCGTAACTGGCACAGCCTGCTTTGACAGGTATGGGTTGACAAAGCTAGACATCAGATCATGGTCTTGTGTTTTGGACAGCCAGTCTCCCAACGCCTCGTCATCTAAACTTGGACACCGTTTCAAAGAGCTGAGGCTGAAATATACCTTGGAACGTCTCTTTGGAATTAGAGAGTTATCCGGAATAGTGCAAGTTACTGATCTTGGCTTAGGATTGATTTCAACGGAAGACGACCCAGGATCGTAAATGACGTTTTTGGCTATTAGAACGTTTTGAAAATAAATGTGAGGAGTCAGAGAACTTGCTGGTAGGACTGTTAGCTCCAGGATTAGACTGGTGCTACTGAACATTTAGAGTTGCTGGGCTTGGACGTTGGGTAACAGGCATAACTGTTGGCCCTCTTCCTCGGTGCGTCATTGAATTCCAGTCCAAGAGCTGGCATCAGGTCAACGCTTTGGTGTAGCGAGGTAGAGGAAAAGCGGCTTTTCGAGCTGAAGAGATCCAGTGTGGTGTATGAACGTAATGAAAGACGGAGGAAACCGTCCAAGGTCTAACCTGGAGGTGGTGTGCACTCTTGGCTGCTCAAGTTGAATAGAATGCAAGAGGTGTGGGAACAAGTTGATGAACCAAGTTGAAATTGAACACCGCTCAGATCATTTCATTCAGTCATGGGGGCTTTTTGAGCCATCGTTGTTTGAGAGACGTCGCCTCCATGTTCAGGCTCGCTGTTCTTCCAACTTTTCCAAGTTGAAAACACTTCTACTTTGCGAACTTAGTAATTGAAATTTCCCATTGATAATGTTAGTTTAATATCAGTCTTTTCTATTCAATTGGCGAGTGTGCAGTGCTAGAAAATGTCAAAATGCCCCATAGACAGAGACTCATGGCTGCATCGTGAACAAGTAATGAGAAGTGAGCAAGACAACCGAATTATTTCGAAACAATAATCTATGACGTAAGAATACTCACCCAAGGTTACACCAACATCCCCTTCTTTATTCACATCTGTTAATACTCGCGTGAACAACGCTTCCGTTGTCTATGTGACGAGTGTTGCTATTTACCCAATCCGAGTGACGAGATATCACATTCTGGGTGAGGATCTCTTGAGCCAAGATCCAGACGAACCAGGAAAAAGATCGACGGGTCAATGGCGTACGCACGTGGTAAAGGTCTGGTTGCCCTCTCTGCCCCTTGCAGCGCCCTATCGTAGTGTCTTCCGGCATCGACATCCGCCCGGTGTCTCAAAGTGAGAAATGACCTGTCACAGGCCTCAAATCTCTTGGATTCCATGCCATTGTGCCTGATCCTCATTGTAAAGAGAGACAAAACAAGTGTGGGGGAAGCCGCTAAACCTTGCCAATAGCCGTTGCGGTGCGGGAATGTCACTCAAGATTGCGCGTGGCTTGGGGCGTTTTCGCAAAGGCACGGATCGTCCACGTTTATTCCCGTAAACGCTTGCTTTGGGCGTCCTCTTGCGACGGTTTAAGCTCAAGAGACGAGACGGCAGAGGTCCACGTGATCATGTCTCGGAATCTTGCTCTCAAGATAGAGAAGCCACAAAGCCCAGCTTGGACGAGGACGGCCAGGAGTGAAGCCACAGCAGGAGGAATCGGTGAAAGCATCAAGACGCAAATGACATCACAGGATGTTTGAAGAATAGGGTAGTTGTCAGTGTTCCACACATTGGTGATGCACTCACAGATGAAGAGTTGGCCTGGATGTTGTGCGGCGAGAGGGTCAACACAAGGCTGATGAAAGGGCGGTCTGCTATGCCACAACGCAAGGGTTAACGGTCAACAGAATGTTGAGACCCTGATCTCAAACAATTTCGCTCGATCGATGTGAAATCTGACAAGTTTGTTGACCGTGGCAAAGGAACATTGCAGCCTGTCCTCTTCGCCATGACAGGACCGTCATGAGCAAACACGGGATTATTCCTTTGATGCCTGCCACTGCCAGGTAAACTCGGTCAGCGTATATCAGACAGAAAATCCAAACCGATACTCGGTGAGCTTGCCGGCCGGGTAACCGCTCCTTTGCTTGGCAAGCCAAACATGGCTGTATGTCCTTGTCGATCATCGCCTCTCGAAATTGCAGCCGGACAGGAGGGAACTAAGATCAATACTGGGCAGTGTTGCTGGGTTCAGATTTCAGCTCTTGGCAAACCTCTCTGCGACTGTATTACATCACCGTCATGTCAACAGCGGAAGCGTCCTCTACCGGACGCAACCATAACACCACACCCGAGTGTAGTGTACCGTTTCCCGTCGAAAACGGCAGCTCGCCTAAACGATGATGCCAAGGCTGGGGAATGAGGCGTTCGCTAGTCGCAGGGGGTTTCTTGTTCCCGGTCCCCAAGACAGTCCCGTTCTAGGTCGATCCACGGTAGTCCTTGTAGCAGCGGCCTTCTCTGTGGATCACGGTTGTTCCCGGATCTTCGCACTTGTGCATTCCCCTACAGCTCTCCACTCGACCAAGCATTCAGCTCAAGCTCCTCACCGGGCACTAAAGAATAGATGAAGGGTCGACGGTTGTGGATAGGAGGGCCTCAAAGTTTGCGCCTGGCTCGGAAGCACGATGGACCCGGAAGCTAGCCTTCGGTGCCGGGCATGTCTCTTGCTCAGGAGGCTCGCAGTCTGATGCGGTGTTTGAGAAACCTTGTTCTGTCTGGGGCAAGTCAGCCTCATTTCAGCCTGGCAGGATAACCAACAACTCAGACATACACGACCAACAGAGCTGGTGACGCTGATAGCATCCCTCATGACGGGTCACAAATCAGCTTGGAGTCCACTCTAATTAGACTTCTTGGCTTGATTCCCTCGTAACCGGGATTTGGAGGCTGTCCCTGGAGTAATAGGTAGATGGATGGAATGGCGACACATCCACCAGCCTGGATGGGACTCCCTGGAAAACAGGAAAGCTGAACGTGCACACATCGACTTCAGACGTCAAGCCCCGGTTTCAGAGATATATAGAGCTGGACTGACCGCGCCTAGACTTTCAAATCATCATTCACCAAGGTCGATCAATGCCAACAACTCACCTCTCAATCGACAACTCACCATGGCTCAGCACATGAGCTGGTCAGCCTTGCTGACGATAGCAGCGTTGGCTATTTCAGCCTCTGCATCTACCATCCCGCGCCAAAACCATCCTGACACTCTCTTCTCCCGACAGGGACTCTATGGCGGTGGATGTCCCCTCCCTGATGTCTGCACCTGGGGAAGCTGCACCAATGTGACCATCGGGCTCGATCCAAAGGAGTGTGGAAGGTCCGACAATCCATGTGAGCCCGGAGAGATTTGTGTTGCCGGGCAATGTTATCCTCTCGATCTTGGATCGAACGACGTGGACCACAAGAACTGCAGCAGTTCCACCAGCTCCCAGCTTTGTCTGCCCGGCCAGTGGTGCAACAAAGGCAAATGCGATCCGATCCAGATCCTCACTGATTCCCGTCACTGCGGAAACGGGCAAAAGCCTTGCCCCCCGGGATCGCTCT